CCATTAGAATGTCAGCCCCACAACACCAAGGATATTTGAGGTCTGTCTCGTTCACTGCTGTGTCCTAATCACCTAGCATGTTGCCTGGTACACACTAAGACCTTGATAAATACTTGTCCAGTGACTAGCTAGATGCTGTTTATAAAAATATAGGGTGCCTAGTTTTCTGATAGGTAGTGAGTTCTCCATGAAGGGAAGTGCTGGAGGTGAAACTGAACGAGCAGTACCTTGCAATTCATGATGCGAGACCCCCAACCCAGTTCATGTCCGGGCCTCAGTTTCCTCATTTATAAAATGGGTGTGTGGCCAGCCGAGGGTGTGTGTGTGGGGTGGTTTGTGGGGGTGTGTGAACTCCTGGCCCGGCCCTTGCCTGCGATCCCCGCAGGGGCCACCAGGGGGCGCGGTGCCTCTGCCCAAAAGCCGGCCCTCACAGCTCAAGCCCGGGTGGATGCTTCCCGACGGTCCTGGAATATTCTGAGCCGCGCTGGCTTCCAAGCACTCAGGAATCCAAGAGTTTGTGCGGATGGGCGGGTGTCCGCGCTCCTCGCAGGGGGGCGGGCGGTGACTCAGGCGCGCGGCCCCCAGTTCTCGCGAGGGAGCGTGCGCGGCCTCGGGAACTCGCGCGGAGCCGCGTCCATTTTTACCCGAGCGCCGCTAAAAATAGTCCCCGCGCTCGGAGCGGAGCCCGAAATAGCGGCCCCCAGATAAGGCAGGACGACTCAGCGCTTCCGGGGAGCGGAAGGGGGAGGCAGCGGGGGGGGCGAGGGGAGTGGGGCCGGGCTCAGCTGGGCCTCTCCGCGTAGCTGCGGCCGGACGACCGGCCCCCGCCGTCCCTGCGCTGCCCCAACTGCGACCCCAACCCGCATCTCCGGAGCTGTGACCAGCCTCGAATGAGCGCCCCTAGCCCTTCCATCCCCCGCAGTGCCCTGTCTCCTGGTCCCCCACGCCTCAGTTTCCCCTCTGTTCTTCACCCCCTGACCGTTATCCAGCTTCCCCTTCCGTATCCTAGCCTTTATTCTTAACCTTGCCGCCCCTTCCCCAAGTGCCCCTCTGACATTCGTCTCCATCCCTCAGCCCACCCTTCCCGAAGCCCTGTCCCTATTCTCTCTCGCCTTTCTGAATCCCACCCCCAGCTCTCAGCTCCACTTCTATGGGAGTACGATGCGGAGGTCACAGGAAGTCATGCCGGACCAGCCAGGCAGAGGGCTGGGAGTGAGGCTCTGACTTCTTGGCTAGTTTCTGTAGTGGATCGGATGGGCTTAGTTCTGGGTCTTAGCCAGTTTCAGGGCTCATACTGTGCTAAGGGTCAGGGATTCAAGCCTGGGCCAGGGTTGGGGCTCAGACTGGGGACAGAGGCAGGTCTGCTGTCACCAAAGTTGGGGTCTCTGTGTCACCAGTCAGGGCTCAGCCCGGCGCCCCACTGTTGGGCTGATTCAATTCAACTATGATTCTTCCCTTTCTTGCAAGTCAGGGACACGATAGCCCCAGGCAGTGGGAAGAGCCGAGAACCCTGCTCCCTCTGGGCCTGGGTCTCCCCTTTGCACTTGGATCCTTTGGGGGCACCTTCCTATTCTGATATCCTGCGAGTCTTTCAGTGCCTACTCTCAGAATCAGCCTCAAAGATTTTATACCACGCTCACCTGAGGTTCAATGTCTGCATCTTTCTCGTCTTTGAAATGCCACAGAACAGAAACCGCCCTGTAGAATGATGTCTCGATGAAAATTCAGGCAGAACCCTTCGGCTGTGGATGGAAGCCACGCTCAAGTGCTGTCCCTGACCGTAGTGGACACAGAGCTTTAGGCAGGTGTCTTGATGGTTATGTTGTCTGGATGGGACGTCAACCAGCAGGCAAAGGCACTGGGCTGGAGGATCCTTTAAGGCAAGAAGAATTGTGCAGCTGGACCGAAGAATTAGGCTAGAAAAGTGAGCAAGGACTAGACAACCCTGGGCCCCTTGGGCCATGGTGAGGAGCCTGGACTATTTCCCCCAGGGGCACTGGGAAAGCCATGGCAGGTTCTGAGGAGGGGAGACACAGGCAGGTTTGAAGACCTTTCTGACTGCTTCCTGCAGGTACTGAGGGGAGGAGAGGAGGGGCCTGGACCTAGGGAGGAGTAAGAGGAGAGGGAAGAGCAGATTTGAGACAGTCAGAAGGCAAGAAGGGCCAGACTTGGCGGCTGAGAGGCTGGGAGGGGAAAGAGGCAGCCAAGATGCGGCCTGCGTCTCTGCTCAGGAGAGAGTGGGATGGTGGGGTCATCCCTGACATGAGGCCCAAGAGGAGGAAGAGCAGGTGTGGGTAGGGGAGGCCCAGGTAAGTTTCAAAGTTCGTCCAAAGAGGGTCATTTTTAAACTTTAAAAAGGGGGATTTAAAAAAGTTGAGGGAACATATATTGGCAAATGGGCTTCCCAGGTGGCGCTAGTAATAAAGAACCCACCTGCCAATGCAGGAGACATAAGGGAGGTGGGTTCCATCCCTGGTTTGGGAAGATCCCCCAGAGGAGGGAATGGCAACCCACCCCCGTATTCCTGCCTGGAGAATCCCATGGGCAGAGGAGCTTGGTAGGCCACAGTCCAGAGGGTCACAGAGTCAGACACAACTGAAGCGAAGCAACTTGGCACACACGCATATTGGCAAATACAAAAGAGTATACTTTGAAAAAGTAAATTTCCCTCCCCCCCTGACCCCCACTTCTCACTACTACCTACATCCCCTGTGCCTGGGCCAGCAGAATTCACTGAGCTCTCACAATGTCCCAGCCTGTGCTCAGCCCATCATAGGAGTGACTGCGTCCAAATCACCCATCACCCAGTGTGGAAGCCAGGCCCCACTGCATACCCATTTAAGAGAAGTGGAAACTGAGGCTTTGGAGAAATACGGGAATGTGTCCTTTCAGGGGTCTGGCTGCGAAGGCTCCTCAAACTTGAAGGTATGGGAGCAGATGAGATCAGAGGAACAGGTCCAAAGGGTCAGGGTCCAGAGCTTAAGGACCTGGAGGGGAGTGACGGGGAGTTCAAGGAGGCTGCCTGGAGGAGGACTGAGGAAAGCTAGAAAGGTGTCTTCCAGAACCTTCTGATGAAGGGTTTGGACGGAAGCAAGTCACTGCCTTTGCGGGGGCTGAGGGGTCCCTGGCAGCAGGGCAGTGCCCCCTCCTCACGCCCCAGAGGTGTTCACAGGGACAGACTGAGGCTTCTTGATGACAACTCAGGGACATGGTGATAGCACTGCCGGCTGTAATGACGTCGGAGTGATTCGCCAACGACCAGCATCTCTAGTCATGCCCTGTGGGGGGCATGAGGATGGGAGGAAGTGACAGGCCACGGGGGTGGGGGCAACAGAGATGCAGTCATTCAGAGACCAGGGGACTCAGGCGCTGAGCCAGTGTGTTTTGCCCCCTACACCAGGGAAGTTTGGGTGGGAGGATCCGTGATTTGGGGCTCTGTTGAGTGAAGAAGGTCTAGTTTCAACCACCTTTGACTGGGATGGAGTAGGTCTGGGCACAGAATCAGGGGCTGCTGGGGTCAGGGATTTCTGTTTTGTTTGCGGCTGGGTCCCCATCACCCAGGACGTGACTGGCACAACAGTAGGCGCTCAGTACATATTTGTTGAATGAATGGAATGAAAGGGATCAGCACTCCTTGGATCTCTTGCCTCACAGCCCTGGCCATCAGGCCGCCTCAGCCAGAGGCATTGCTAAGAATACCCTTCCCCACCCAGGGTCTCATCTCAGTCCCCGCTTTCCGAGTCGGGGTGAACAAGAAAACGAGTTCTTGCCTGTGATGGACTCCGCCCACATGTGATGTCACAAGCCGCTTGGGGATCCCGATCCCTGTCCCTCCCTTGGGATGGGGCGTGAAAGGAACCCGGGAGTCCTAACTTCCGCCCCTCCCCGGGGCCTGGCGGTATTACATAACCCCGACGTCGCGTCCCCTGAGATGTCTCCGGACGTCCTGGCCAGGCCGGGGACAATGGGCGGGGAGAAGCCCTCCTGCCAGGAACCTGGAAGTGGCAAGGGCACCCTCTCCTCTGATTCACCCTTGTTTCCGTCCCGTTTAAGCCTCCTCCTTCTCCTCAGGGACCCGTATCTCCCCCAAGCTCTCTACCCTCACTTCTTGGTCCCCCCTAAATTTCAGCTCTGCCCCGGCCTGCAAATTTGTCTCGGCCTGCAAATATCAGCCCTCTACCCAAACTCCCTGCCCTCACCCCAGTCCTTTGTCATTTCTGAATCCCCTAAACGTCTAGTTTCCCACGCCCTTCACTCACCCATGTCGAGGTTGGGGGTAGGGGGTAGGGGGAGCCTGTCCAGGGTCCCTCAAACTATCCCCAACTTCCTACCCGCCCCCCCTCGCCCTCCCAATCTCCTCCCGTGGCTTCTCCAAGCTTCCTCCAACACCTCTCTTCCCCAAACCCCTCCCCACCTCCCTCAAACTGACCCCTAATACTTTCTCGTCCGTAATCCCAGCCTCCTTGACTCCCGAAACTGCCCTAATATCCCTGCTTCATTCCCCTCAAATCGGGTCTCCGATTCCCTCCCGACTCCAGATATCTGCCGGGCTCTCTCGGCCCCAGACCCCCGGCCACCGGCACCCCTCCCCAGCCCGCTCCCACGCCCGGCTCGGGTTCCCAGGCTGCCCCCCCGCGGTGGCCCAGAGACCCAGTTTGCCGCAGCAAAACATTGGTCTCCGGGCAACAGGCCCCGCCCGCCCCAGGGCTGCCCGCTGCGAGCCCGGCCGCGCCGGGGCCGAGACTGGGCGCCGAGGCGGGGTGGGCGCACCAGGCTGGGGCCTTCGCCTCCCGAGGTCCGCCGGGCGCAGGGACCCGGGGAGACCGCCACGCGGAAGTAGAGATTCTGGGCTCGGGAGTCAGAAACCCCGGGAAATTCGTAGAGTCTGAAGGGAGCTGTCTGGGACTCGGTAATAGAGGCCGCGCAACCAAGTAAAGAAGGAATGAGCCCTGAAATAAACATGGGGATGATGAGGATAAACACAGACAACGCACCGGTCCGCAAGGACGCCACTGAAGGCAGGATAATCTACCTCGGATCGTCCGGGCCTTTGAGCTTCTGTTTTAGGGACTTCCCTCTCTGACTCTTAGTTTCCGTGTTTGTAAAACGGGTAGCGCTTAGCATAGAGGGCTGCTGTGACAATAGGGATTCAACGTAAGGATTCAGTGCATTCACCGGCCTAGAACTCGTGGCACACTCCAGGCACGTCATTCATTCGTTCAGCATATTTGTGCCAGGTACTGTGGTAAGTGCTGGCAATTCAACAGTGAACAAGATGAAGGTCCCTGTCCTCCCAGAAGCTCCCACTTTGGGAATGGGGAAGGAGATGATGGGCCTTACATAGCACGTTGGAAAGTAGCAGTGCTGGGGAGGTAGAGAGGAAGGGAGGGTTGAGGCTGCCATTTCAAATAGGGTGGTCAGAGAAGGTCGACATGAGACGGTGATTCTTTGAGCAAAGACTGGAAGTTGGGGAGAAAGGAGCCGTGGAGAGATCTGGGTCAAGAGCATCCAGGTCAGAGAGAGCAGCAGATGCAAAGGCCTTAAGGTGGGAACATGCCTGGTGTGTTGGAGGAACAGGAGGAGGCTGGTGTGGCTGGAGCAGAGAGAGGGAGGGGAGGGAAAGTGGCAGAGACAAGGAGCCTATGGGCCATGGTGAGGGCCTTGACTTTTACTCTGGGTGAGTTAGATGCCAGGGGAGAGTTTTGAGCAAAAAAGGGACATGAACTGACTTTGATTTAAACAGCATCCCTCCAGCTGTATGTGGGGAATGGGCTTTGGGAGGCCAGAGTGCAGGCAGTCAGACCAGCGAGGCGACCTACGCAATAGTCCAGGCAAGAGGGGATGGCGACTTGGACAAGGGGCAACAGGAATCAGATTCTGGAGATGTTTGAAGGCAGAGCTGCAGAATTTGCTGACAGGCACATTCATGGCAAGCCCTCAATAGATGGCAGCAGTTACCATTTTGTGAAAGAGAACTCAAAATCCTCACACAAGTCCATATCCTCCCCATTTTACAGGTGCAGAAATTGAGGCTCCCAGGGGTCACTAAGCTTGCCTAAGGAGTCAGCTCAGTCTGGCTCCAAAATGGTACCCCTCTATTAGGTTGGCTCTTCCCAAGTCCACAACACCCTCGAAGTCTGGAGTTATACCCAAACTTATCCACGTGGGCCCCAGGACTCCTGGAGCTATATCCTTATTAGCCGCACCCAGTGGGCGTAGAAAGTGGTTGCCTGACAGAGAAAGCTGTCTGACTGGTGTTCCAGTTGTCAGGTAGTCACCCATGCTGGCCCGGGACACTGACTTAAAGGCAGGCAGGTACATGTAGAGAGGGTCCACCCAGAACCTCCCAGCCCATCATCTGCTTCCCACACTCAGCCCCAGCACTGGACCCGGCACACCCCAGTGCTGCCTGCAGCGACCTGTTGAATACAGTCACACACTCGCACGCAGGTAGGTACGTGGCCCTCCACCGTGAAGGTGCATTTTCAGGCAGTGTGCAGAAAATGCAATTTCTGGCTTTATCTCTCTGTTTCCGTATCTCTCTGCCTCTAACTTTTTGTCTCTGTCTGTGTCTTGCTATCTGTCTCTCTCTGCACCCTGACCCCCTGCTCTGTCCACACTCAGGACCCTCTACCTGCAGGGGGAATCACTCTTGTCCCTGGCCATGTCTCCACGGAACCTCACCTATTATGTGGCATCAGAACTTTGCATCAGCCAACAGCAACCTATGTACCACACCGAGAACTATACCCAATATTTTGTAACAATCTATAAGGGAAAAGAATGTGGAAAAAAAAGTATATAAACGTGTATATATATGTATATAAACATGTATACACACACACACACATATAATTGAATCAGTTAACTGTTCACCTGAAACTAACACGACATTGTAAATTAACTATACTTCAATTTTAAAAAACCATTAAAAAAAACAACACCTGGCATCAGGACATGTGTGGAGGCCTCAGATCAGTTGTTCAGAATCTCTCAGGCAGACTCTCACATGTCATAATCTCTGCCACCTCCTTCTCTGAGATTCTGACCCACAGCTTTTGGGTGTGGGACTGAGGCAATCCACCTTTAACAAGTTGCCCAGGAGATGGGGCTCCCTGTCAATCTGCATTGCCGGTTTGTGCATACTAAGTCGCTTCAGTCGTGTCTGACTCTTTGTGACCCCGTGGACTGTAGCCCGCCAGGCTCCTCTGTCCATGGGATTCTCCAAGCAAGAATACTGGAGTGGGTTGCCATGTCCTCCTCCAGGGGATCTTCCCGACCCAGGGATGGAACCACATCGTTTATATCTCCTGCATTGGCAGGCAGGTTCTTTACCTTTAGTGCCACGTGGTACCCCATCTGATTTTGCACAAAGGGAAGAGCAGAGGCCCAAGGAGCAGAGGAACCATCCCGACACCCACAGCACATAGTTGTGAGGGGATTGGGATTGGTGCTGTTCAGAATCAGTCGACTCTGGGAACAAATTTGGGAGTTAAATGAAGAATTAAAGAGAAGCACAAAGACACAGAGGGAGACCCAGAAATGGATAAAAACCCAGAGAAAGGGGAGTGGGTGGGAGGCAGAAACCCAGAAAGGGACTCAGGGGAACAGAGATAGTGACAGAAAAGCACAGAGATGGCATAACAGAGACAGAGAGACAGCAGAAAGATGCAGAGGGAATGAAGACATATTAAGAGACAGAGACTGAGACACATCACTTAGGGGGATAGAGAGACCCCAATAGAGGCAGATTTTGAATGAGGCAGTATACATGATAGGCTTGACTTCCTAGAAGCAGCCAGTGCCAGTTTGGCAATTGCAGGTTTAGCAAGCCAGGTCCCCTCCCTAGACTCGACATGTAGGATGCACATTAAACACGTTTATATAACCTGCCCTCTGTGCAGAATCTAAGAGCTTTACATAATGTAGCCCCATGAGTCATGCTGCAGACATGGGGCAGTGACCTGACACACCCGATGAGAGTGGACCCCTCACCCAGGACCGTTACCTGGAAGTGACTATGTGAGAGGTGAGAGATCACAAGTTTCACTGAGGAGAAAGCAGAGGGTGAGAGAAGGCAAGGCATTTATCTGAGGTCACACAGCCGGGGCCAGCAGAACAAAAATTCCAATCACATCTGCCTGATTTCCTCGCCTTTGCACCCTAAGACACAAAGAAAGTCGATAACTGACAATGCCCTGTGATGTGTTATTTTACAGAGTAGAGGAAATAATAGTTAAAACATCAGCAATAATATGACAGCCCCTGTGTATTTAGCACTCTGTGGTGCAGTAAGTACTTTACAAATACCATCTCATTCCAAATCCCAGTGAGGCAGGAAAAGAACTCAGTTATTAAAGAATATAATTTTACCTGTTATGTACAGAGCATTTACTATGTACTAAGTACTTAACAGGATTTCATAGTCAGAGTTCTGGAGGCAGGTGATGCTATCACTCCCATTTCAGGAAGCAAAGATGATCAGAAAAAAGAAGTTACAGGTCAAGGTCACAGAGTGGGTATTTGAACCCAGGTTTCTCTATCGGTTTATCTTTGCCACCCACTCTCCTGTGGAAGTGCGTGCCTACAAGTGCGCCTATGCACGTGTGCAATCGAGCTAACATCTTGCACTAACATCTTAAAAACTTTAGTTCAACTATCAACAGTCCCCAGCTTATATCCTTTTCTCTACTCCAGGAGGGTGTAAGCCAGCCTCCGATTCCCTAAATCTCCCCAACGCCTGGGCAGCGACCCTCCCCTCTCCCTGCAGAGCTTCAGTCCCCGCCGCGCGGTCCAGCCGGATCCGGTAAAATGTTCCTGCCTCTTTAAGAGAATGAACAGTCAGCCGGCGTTGCCTGGCAGCGCCTCGGCGGTCGCCAGGCAACGTCAACAAACGACTCAGCCGCCGTCTCCGCGCTCACCGCCCCCCCGCCCGCGCAGACGCGGTGACGCGACGGGCTGTGGAACGCCGTCGCTTAGCAACGTGAAGGCTGTTTGTCCCGGGCCTGGCCGCGCGGCCGCACAGGGTGCAACCAGGACCGGCCCGGGCGGACAGACGAGCCGTCCGGGAGCCTGGTGTGGGGGGGGCGCTGCGGTGATGGAGCGGGGGAGAACCAGGCCCCCAAATTGCCGGTTTCCCTTTAGACAGCCGCCGTCTGCTTGTCACCCGCTCCTCCTGTCTGACCTAGGACCGCCTCCGCTGGGTATCTGTCCGTCTGCGCCCCCTCCTCCCCGGCATGTCTGTCTGTCCAGCATCTCCCGCGCGGTGGCTGTCTCACATTCCCCCAAATAATAACAACTAAAATAGATCCAAGCACACTTCTCTGGCCTTCTGCTTTTGCCTCAGACTCCCCGGTTCCTGTGTGCGCTGTTGAGTTTGGGGTCCCAACCAGTGGAGACAGGCAGGGCACACACACACACACCCGGAGCCACAGCGCGAGAGCCCCCCCCCCCCCCCGCTCCTTTCCCTGCTCCCCTCGGGTTTCTTGCCTGTCTTCCTCGAAGCTCTTTCATCAGACAGGCAGCCCAAAGTCCTTCCATTCTGTGTCTGGGAAGCTGTCCACAGCTGGGAGGTTTTAATAACTCATCCCCAACACACACCCCCGACACCCCCCAACCAGTAGCTTCATGTGACCAGGGCTGGGGCGAATCTCCAAGCAGAGAGAAAAAACTGGGTGTTTGACTGAATGGTTGTGACTGTAGATGAGTGATTCTGTCTGTGACAGTGCCTATCTAGGGTTTCCCGTGTGAGAGCGTGCTTATGAGGGCTTCCTTCATGTGTGTGAGAGCAACTGACGGACTCAGCGAGTGGTTTCCCCAGTTTGCACTTGTGTACTGGATGTATTGGAGAAGGAAATGGCAACCCACTTCAGTATTCTTGCCTGGGAAGTCCCATAGACAGAGGAGCTTTGTGGGCTATAGTTCATGGGGTTGCAAGAGTTGGACATGACTTAACGACTACACCACCAACAACTGGATGTATGGGTATCTGAACACTGCTGACGATGTGTTTGGGTGTGTGTACTTGAGTCTTTTTGTGTGATCGTATGTGAAACATGACTAAGTACCTATATATACAGTACTTACAGATACATACATATGGACGTGTACAGTTTTGCTTCTAGCTTGCATTTCTGTGTGTGTGTATATGTATAGTTCTGGATCTCTGTGTATGGTCATCTGTGTTCAACTGTGCCGGTGGTTGTGTTTGTCAGTCAGTTATCTCTCACTTCTTTCCACAGAATTTATCACAGTCTTCAGTTATATATTTCTTTGTTTACTGTCTCCCCCATGGGGCTGTGTGCTCCACAAGGACAGGGCCTAAGGCTGTTGTGGTTACTGCTGGATCCCTAGCACTTCTCTGCACACAGTAGGTACTCAGTAATTACTGCTGAGTAAATGAATCTGTGACTCATGTGTCCACGTTGAGTGCACATGTCTGTGTAACTGTGTGAATGGTTCTGTGTCTCCTATGTGTGCCTTCCAGCTTTGCGGCTTTTGGTAAGCCGTGTCCAGTTGTATAGCTCTAATTTTCAGCACACCACACTGGGAAACATAGCTGGATTTCAGTATTTGTGGACTTGAATCGTATTAGCATTAAGACCTCTATGGACCTCATCTGTAAAATGGGAATAATAATTGCCCACACTCATAGGACTGTTGTGGGGAGTAAATGAGTTCCTACAGAGAACATTTAGAAAGTGCTCAGCACAGAATAAACTTTTATGAAATACCACACTTGACTGTCAGCAGTATTGTTACTTCCTCTCTGTGTGTGCCCTGTAGGCATGTGTCCAGAACATGAGTTACAGGCTCAGGCGTTAGCTGTGTGGTTTAGCGTCAGTTCGCTTCCTATAAAATGGGCATGACAACAGGCCTCCTCCACGGGTGGCTGTGACCAGATGAAGGTGTGTCTCTAAGTCTTGACCTTGGTGTAAGGACCTAGGGAGCCCTCGGTGTCTGCAAGGCCAGTTGTGACCATCACTGTCAAGCTCAGGTTTTGGGGAAGGCAGTGGAGGGGTAAGAGTTTTGGGGTGGAGAGAACAGAGGCTTAAATCATTCACTGGGACAGGGAATGAGGAAAGTCCGAGAGGGAAGGAAAGGCACCTGCTGCAGTAGGCTGGCTGAAGGTCAGAGTCCTGAAAGGACTTCCTCCCAGGGACTGTTTGGGAGCCAAGGATTAAAAGTAACTGGAACTGTTTGGAAAGCTGCCTGGAGGAACAGAAACGAACCCGAGTCTTGCAGCCTGGTGGAATCTGGGGAGGGGGGGATAACAATAGCAATAATATTATACAACATGCAGGCTCTGATGGGGCACTGTGAGGAATTTCTGTCTTATTCTCAGCTCTGTTCCCGGTGTCTGGAGAGCCTGACACGGGAGAGGTGCTGAGAACCTGTGTTTGAATGGCTGGTTGAATGAATAAATGAATTAATTAATTCCATCCCATAATAATCTGTGAGTCCTGGTCTCCAGGGGAGGTGGGGAGGTCCCGGTGGGCTGCCAGGGCTGGCCTGGGGTCTGAGCCTCTGGAATCTGCCTCCTGTCGGTCCGGTAGTCCGCTGTTCCCACAGCTCAGGGGTGTGGAGGGCGTGGAGGGGGCCGGGAAGGGAGCGTCAGGCTGCCTGCCGGCCGCCAGCCCTGGAGAGCTGCCCAGAGTGTCTGCAGGAGGGAGAGGGTAGCTCTAGGCCTGAGTCACACTCGGAGAAACCCCGGACGCATACCTGGCCGCTGACATCACAGACCAGGGCACCCCCGGCGACCCAGACAAGCCGACTGAATCACAGGCGGAATTCAGCCACCCCGGGTGCGGGCACGTGGCCCGCTGTGACACCCCCCCCCCATGACACCCCCGCGTGGCTGTCTGGCTGTGGGGGCCAGGCAGGCCGCATTCGGGTCAGTGAGGGGGCACAGACCTGAGTCAGGGATGGGGCAGCTCCAGCCTGAGACCACCCAGTCCAGCCACAGCATCCTCAAGGTGCAGGAAGGGGAGGCGGGGGAGCGGGTCAGCCGGTGGGGAGGCCCCTGGGCCGTAAAGAGGAAACCCGCAGCGGTATGACTGGGAGGCTGTGGGTTGTGGCTAGCAGTTAGATGACCTGCTGGGGGTGGGATGGGGTCTGGGTGTTTGCGCAGAGAACAATGGAATCACCCTACGTGTGCTCACGCACGCACGCACGCACGCACGCACGCAAGCACACACACACACCAAAGTGGGGAGGCCCTGCCTCCCTCCACCCACGACCCCAGAGCCTCACTACCAGCGTCGGAACCAGTCTTCACTCCGCACAAACCTGCAGGTTGGGCAAGTTCCCTAAGGGCTCCTGGCCTCAGTTTCCTGATCCGTTGAATGGGGATAATAATAATTGCCTTTGCAGCTTACACTTACAGGGAAGGTATTTTCTGCCAGGCACTGTTCTAAGCATTTTTACATACAAACTCATTTATTCCTCAAAACGCTAGGAGGAAGGTGCTGTTATTATCTCCACTTTACAGATGAGGAAACTGAGATCAGAGAAGTTGCTTGCCCAGAGTCACATGGCTAGTACCCTCCTTATAGCGTCTTGGAAGACTTACATAAGAAAATACAGTGAATCTGTATGGAGCAACTGGCACATGGTTAGTTTTCTCAAGTGACTGCCAGCTATATTATTAATACTACTATTATTTTCATTCAAAATGCAGCTGGAAAGGTCTCCAAAACTGTTATCCTTGCCACCTTGGTCCAGTCCTGCCTTTTAGCTTCTTGCAGTCTCTCCTGCTTTCTCTTCTTTGGTCTTGGATGTCTATAGTAGGGAGAGAGTGCTTTCATGAACTCCCTCCTTATCTAGATCTTTTCAGGATTTGACAGTAGTTGCCCAAACCCACCTTCACCAGGAAGCCCTCCCGACTTGTTCAGGCCTCCCTAAGCACTCCCACCCCCACAATGCCTGGAGTGGTTATAGTCAGTGATACACTATCACACTGTGTGGGTCTGAGTTGGGATGGGTGAGAGGTTGGCTCCCACAGTGAGGGGGTTCACAGGACCTCTGGACGAGGGCCTGAGACAAGTCAGCATCTGAGAGTAGCCTCTGCTGAGCAGTGTCCGCATGCCCTCACACGTGAAACTGTGGGTGTGTAGCTGTGAGCATGCGTGGGAAAGAGGGTACACCATAATGGGATCTGAGTGTGTGATGCCATGTCTCTATGTGCCTTGTTCTGTAGGTTTGTATGTAACTCTGAGCAAGACTGTGAAGCTTCCTTGTGTCCGAGTGACCTGGAGGCAGGAACCTCCACACAAATGTGGGTGGCTGAGAAATTCTGCCAGTCCAGAGCCCTGGGGGCCTCTCCACGGCAGTGGGGCTGCCTAGCTCTGCCAGTTTGTGTGTGTAGAGTTGTGCGCCTGTCAGTATCTGCTGTCTGGTGTCTGTACATTTCTGTGATGTGTGTGCACGAGAGCGTGTGTTAGGCTCTGTGTGTGACTGTGTGTTCGTTTAGTTCTTTGTGTGTCTGTGCAGGCAAAGGTGAGAGGTGTGCATGCACATCTGTGTTGTCTGCCTGTGTGTCTGTCTTTTTGTCTCCACAGTTTGGATTCTGTAAACCAAGCCTCCTCCTTCCCACCCCTGACGGATGTGTCCACCTCAACCCTGGGAGGACCCAGGGTCACCAACTCAGCAGGGAGAAGGCAGGGAGGACAGACAGGTAACTGTTTATCAACACTGAGAGCCAGGTCCCAAGACCCGTGGACAGCCGCCCTGCCTGTCAACTAGTCTATAGCATCTTCCCCCTTCAATCCATGCAATGGCAAAGAAACAGATATGTTTCTGTCCAAGCCAGTCTGTCAGAGTTGATACCTGAGTAAGTGAGTGGATGGTGAAGAATATTTACTGAGCACCTGCTGAGTACCTGGCACAGTGCTGGGGATGTGGCTGTGCCTGGACAACC